AGAAACTATCTAAGCCTTACTTTGCATTTATCTCAGTTTTCCTCATATTATTTACAGTCATCGAAATGTATTAACTACCGTCCATCTTTTCCATTTCATCTGCATCTTGATCCTAACGCTGTAAAATTGGTGCTTAATAATCTTATTGAACTAGAACTTATGCGTCAACCATCATTACTATAAATTTCTTACAATAAGCCATATTGGGCTCAACCCAGCCAATCTTTCTAGAAGTTAACTTGGAAAAAAAAAACTTTATTGAAGGTCTGGTAGTACTTTAGCATTTTTTCACTTCAGATCTGCTGCATGCAATACTGGGGTTGAAAATGGAAAGATGACAAACGTAATTAACTAATATAATAATAAAAAGTGCTTTCCTAAGAAAGATCAGCTGTTTGCTTGTCTGCGCGGGTAAAATTTTTTTTCAGTTTTCAGTTTCCATTGCATTTTATATGACTGTTTCCGAGAAATCAAAATTATTTTGACAGGTCAGTATTGTTGTTGTTGTTACGCCTTTCTACTGAACAGTGTTTCGGTTTCTTCGTGCTAACGAACCCATCCATCATCCTCACATCCATCCAAACTGATAAGGAAGTCGCCAGCAAGTCGGCATTTTGTCGCCAGCGATCTGTTGAAGAACTTCTGATGCGAGTCGGAAGCTGAACGACCGCAAACTCTCCGATTTTGCTGCTGTTCAACTGTCATCTCTCGGCGCATCGTCGATGCTTCTTCGACGACGACGACGCTAGCGCTCAGCGCTGCTCGTCCTCGATGTGTCTTCGGCGATAATTTCTGCCATGTCGTTGGTGATGCATTGCTTGTTACATTCGTTTTGTTTTCCCATTACTCATTTTTGTGTGCCGCGTCCGCATGTTGCACCGCGCTCTCCACCTCAACGATCTCTCGAATTCGACGCGCCGGCGATTTTTCACGTTGACACATTTGAAATTGTCATTCTATGGACAGTCATTTATCATTGTACCGTCCTGGTCGCAGCCTATCCGGCGGCCTGGTCTGCTACGGTCTTGTGTAAAAGTCCCTAAAAGA